TCCTTATGTTTCAATTGAATAAAATTAAAAGGGGGTATATAATATCTGACAAATTTTGGATAAAAATATGTAAATTGAAGTGATCTTGGCCAAAAGTGAATTCGTTTGATCAACTCTTCGGATTTTTGAAATTCGGGATTAGGGTGTGAGATTTTAGAATTTTTTGATGAATGACGATTATAATAAGCTGCCATAGTATATGCCCGTTTACTGGTAAGAATAAGAAATACTAAATCGTTTACAAATCTATACAACCATTTTGATAAATCCATTTTAAGAGTTTGATCCTCTTTTTCAAGATTCATCCAGTATCCATCCATTTCATTAAAAACTTTTTCTTGTTCTTTGAGATATTGTTTTAAGAACGAAGGTACCATAAGACCTTGTGTAAGTACTGTCCTATTAGATCTCCAATATTCTAAATTATTATTAAGTCCGATCCCTCTATTAGTTATTCCTATTTCATCAAGCCAAGGGCCATCAGTACGATTTGGAAAATTTGTTTTCATTGATGGATTATGAATTTTTTTGAGAAGTTTTGGATCTCCTATCCAAATTTTACGTTGTGAACCCATGTAAAATTCCATAAACTCTCCATATTTTATTTGAAGTTTATAGAATACCATGCTCATATCACTACGAGACAGATAGAGATTACCTAGTAAATTATAAATTATAATTATTATTAAGATTTACGTATCTAAAAATATAATAGAAATTATGTAATACTTATGTACCAATTAAGGGAAGTGGAAGTGGGCCTGGTAAAGGATTAGGCCGGGTAAAATAGAAATAGTAATATTTGGCCGTATAAGTTAAAACGGCAAATAACAAAGCTGTTAGCCAGTCTTTGAATGTTATAGAAGTAATAAACGAAATAATTTTAAGATATAACACCATCGTTTTTTCTGTAGATTATTGTGTTTCATCGATAAAGCCCTCTCATTATATAAAGGATTTTGGTTATGTTACTCATCATTCAATTAAAAAGAAGCAACTGTTACACTATTAACAAAATTTTATCTAACGTTACACACTTATTGTGCTGGTTATTTATGTTTAGTCTATAATTACACTATCGTGATTATGATTTTTTTAAAAAATACGCTCATAAAGAGTTTGTGCTCATAGAATGTTTTTTTTTCTATGTTTATGCAGTTAGTTTGATTCTATATGTTACACGGCTAGAGTTTTACTCTATATGTTTATAATAGTTGGTTTTTTTTTTTTTTTTTTTAACCGCCATAGGGCGTACTTTATTTCTAATAGTTGGTTTTAAAATAGATGTGCTTATACGTAAAGAAAATGTTTAGGG